TAGGGTTCAGCGTCTAGGGTTCAGGGTTTAGGGTTCAGCGTTTAGGGTTCAGGGTTTAGGGTCAGGCTTTAGGGTTTAGGGTTGAGGGAATCCGAAACCCGAAAGCCCCCAGACGCGAAGGACCCTGAAGCAAGAAGCCCCTGCACCCCAAAACCCCAAACCCAAAAACCCCAAACCCTAAACCCAAAACCCAAAAACCCAAAAACCCGAAAACCCAAAAACCCAAAAAAACCTAAACCCTAAACCCAAGAACCCAAAAACCCAAAAACCCTAAACCCTAAACCCTAAACCCTAAACCCTAAACCCTAAACCCTAAAATCAAAGCTCTAAACCCTGAAGCCCCTCTCCTTCTCCTCTGCCGCCGCCTCCGCCATGGCTGACCGCAAAACTGGCTGAGAGCCGATGCCACGAAGGTGCGACGACTTTTTGGGGTTTTCGGGCTTTAGGTTTCCTTTAAGGGCTCCTAGGGTTTAGGGTTTAGGGTTTAGGTTTTAGGGCTTTAGGGTTCCTTTAAGGGCTCCTAGGGTTTAGGGCTTTAGGGCTCCTTTAAGGGCTCCTAGGGTTTAGGGTTTAGGGTTTAGGGTTTAGGGTTCCTGTAAGGGCTCCTAGGGTTTAGGGTTTAGGGCTCCTTTAAGGGCTCCTAGGGTTTAGGGTTTAGGGTTCCTGTAAGGACTCACAGGGTTTAGGGCTCCTTTAAGGGCTCGTAGGGTTTAGAGTTTAGGGTTCCTTTACGGGCTCCTAGGGTTTAGGGTTTAGGGTTCCTTTAAGGGCTCCTAGGGTTTCGAGCTTTAGGGCTCCTGTAAGGGCTCCTAGGGTTTAGGGTTTAGGGTTTAGGGTTCCTTTACGGGCTCCTAGGGTTTAGGGTTTGGGGCTTAGGGTTCCTTAAGGGCTCCTAGGGTTTAGAGCTTTAGGGCTCCTTTAAGGGCTCCTAGGGTTTAGGGTTTAGGGTTTAGGGTTCCTTTAAGGGCTCATTGGGTTTAGGGTTCAGGGTTCCTTTAAGGGCTCATAGGGTTTAGGGTTTAGGGTTCAAGGTTTTGGGGTTTAGGTTGTTGTGTTGTGGGTTTGGGGGTTTCAGGGTTAAGGGCAGGCGGGGATCATGCAAATGGGTAGATGTTGTAGTAATGCAACGGCAGTACGAGCAGCAGTAGCAGCACTAAACCCTAAACCCTAAACCCTAAACCCTAGTCGGAGTATGGGCAGGAGAAGGAAGAGGAGAGTAGAGGCCGGGGTAGCGGTTGGAGTAGTCGCCTCTAAACCCTGAGCTCGGGCCCCAACACCCTGAAAACTGACGCAAAACCCCCAAACCCCCAAACCCCAAAACCCAAAACCCTAAACCCGAACCCAAAACCCTAAACCCTAAACCCTAAACTCTAAACCCTAAACCCTAAACCCAAAACCCAAAACCCCAAAACACTAAAGTGGTCTTTTGAGGGATGGCCGGTTGGAGGCAGTGCTTTGCAAAGCCCAGGCTTGCGGGGGGCCATGTGCAGGCGTACCTTTGAAGGCTCCTTTGAGGGCTCCTTTGAGGGCTTCTTGAAGGTTCCTTTACAGGTCACTGTCAAGCTTCCTGTAAAGGGTTATTATAAGCATGCCTTCAAGGGTTACTCCGAAACCCTAAACCCTAAACCCTAAACCCTAAACCCTATATATATATATATGTTTCCTTAAGGACTTCTACTTCTGAGGCCATGATGTTTTGGCGCTGGCGGTCGGCATGCCGGGTTTCAGGGTAGAGAAGCTCTAAGCCTGGGGCTCAGCCCCAGGTTTAGGGTTTAGGGTTTAGGGTTTAGGGTTTAGGGTTTAGGGATATGGACTTCTAAGCAAAACTTCGAAGCGAGTCCGTTATAGGGTTTAGGTTAGGATCTAGGGTTTAGAAGGATCAATACCCGGTTTCGCTTAGGATCTCTAGAGTTTAGGGCTCAAAAACCGGATTTGAATACATTTTTCCAAGTTCTCCCTGCGTTCCATTGTGCCAAAAGAGGACAGCGCGACAGCGCCGGCCGAAACTGACACCGTGGTGGCCAAGGCCGAGGACGCCTGGCCGTCAAGATAAACCTACTTGGAGGCCCAGGGGAGTTAGTAAGTAGGTTATAAGTAGAGTTATAAGTACCCTAACTGGAGTTACCCCAATTATGACACTACTTTAGACCGACTTACTAAGTCCTCTGGGCCTCCAAGTACACCCTCATCACCGTAAAGTAAACCCTAAACCCCAAACCCTAACTGGAAACCCTAAACCCTAAACCCTAAATCCTACACCCTCATCACCCCTAAAGCTTACCTAAATCCTAAACCCTAACTCGAAACCCCTGAACCCTACACCCTCAGTACCGTAAAGCTCGAACCCCAAACCCGGCACCCTAAACCCTAAACCGTGAGTAGGCCCTACAGCCAATCGGGGTTTAGGGTTTAGGGTCTAGGGTTGAGGGTTTAGGGTATATTTTCAGACACACGTAGTATAGAGGGCAGTGATATCAGCATTGCCCTGAAGTAAGCTTCCCTTGTGTTTCAGCCATGTTCGGGTTTGACGTTTGGGGGTCGGGGTTTGGGAGGTTAAGGGACAGTAGGAGGGACCCTTAAAAGGGACCCCTAACCCAAATGCCCTATATAACACTTTTTTTCTACCCCTTTATGTAGTCTCATAAAGCCCCTATATAACCCTAAGGGTCCCTTTAACAGTCTCATAAAGCCCCTATATAACCCTTTTCTACCCCTTATGCAGTCTCAGAAAGCCCCTAAAAAACCCCAAGGGTCCCTTTACGGGTCCCTCCTTTAGTCCCTTGAGGAGGGCTTTACATGGACCGATACGGGAGACTTCTCGAATCTCCCACAGTGAACTTCAACCCTACAACCCTTAAGGGGTTTGGGGTTTAGGGCCTTTAGGGCTTAGGATTTAGGGTTTGGGGTTTGGGGTTTAGGGTTTAGGGTTTAGGGTTTAGGGTTCAGGGTTCAGGGTTAACCGAACCCGTTCTCCCAGAACCCTAAACTGTAAACCCTAAACCCTCAAAACTCAAAACCGTCAAACCCCAAACCCCTAAAGCCACTCGTTCTGTCTCTCTCTGCCCCTCGATTTGCCCATTACTCTGACCCCTAAACAAAGGGAGTCTTTTGGAGGTCAGGCCTTACTTGGACGTAAATAACCTATGTTGAAGCGTAATCACTGGCATGTTCAACAGGAAGCGCCGGCAGAGGGGGTTTCGCTTGCTAACGTTGGCTCTCTGCTTTAGGTAAATTGCAGCATTCGCTACTGTTTTGGGTCAAGCTATTGGAAAATTGCAATTAGCAGGCTCCCGCTTTGCGCCAAGCGATTAACTATTGCGGGAGCGCAATTCCGAAGCTCCTGTCTTGTAGCTCCTGGAACATGGGTTTGTCCGTGTTCATCATGAGTCGCCCTTTCCGGTCGATCGCACTGTTGAAAACCCTAAACCCTAGCCCTAAACCCTAAGCCCTAAACCCTTAAAGACTGAGGGGTCTAATCGGAGAAGGTGACAGATTTCTGCTTTGAGTCCTCAAATAGTCTGCGCGGCCTCTAAAGACTGAGGGGTCTAACGGAACAGTTGACAGATTTCTGCCTTGAGTCCATCAAGAAGTCTGCAGCATCCTCTAAAAATTGAGGGATCTAACCGGAAAAGCTGACAGATTTCTGCTTCGGGTCTCTCAAGTAGTCTGCAGCACGCAGCACAACCGAAAGGCTTGGATACCTCGGACAGTATGCTGCTGTGGAGCCTCAATCACCTCACGACCTCCAAAGAACCGCGCAGCTTTCGAGGACCCCCGTGTCACCAGCTCTTCTCACGAGCCCGACCTTGTCTTTCTTCCATCCCAGCCCAGCCAACCCAGTCCAGGCCAGCCCAGCCCAGGAAGTCCAGCCCAGCCCAGCCCAGGCCCAGCCCTTGGGTTAACCCTAGTTGTCGTGCACAACATCCTTGAAACGAGAAGCCAGCAACCAGTGCAGAAGAAAGCACTCTTCGTGAACCGCATTCGTCGTGTTCAACATCCTAGTAACAAGAGGCCTGGCCTTCACGGTTAAGGGTTTAGGACAAGGCAGGCATCAGGGTATAACGCCCAGGGCTCGTTTGGAGTTTGCAAAAGCAACACGACTGCCCCCGCACGGTTTAGTCTGCTCCAGGACAGTTTGATCTTCCCCCGACGTCAAAGCAAAACGACCGCTCCAAGACAGTGTCGTTCGGCTTATCACTAGCACGACATACCTAAGACAGTGTACCCCGACCGAACATAGAAGCAAGACGGTTGCTCCGGGACAGCTCGGTTTCTCTCCAACGCAACAGCCGGACGGCTGCTCCAGGACAGTTTCGGGTCCCTCCAACACGAAAACAACACGACTACCTCCCCGAATCCTTTTTCTCGAGGGGCCATCAGTCCGCTGACGGAAGGCTGCTGTGCAGCAGTGTGAGCCAGGTGCCAGCATCATGGCGTGTCCTAAGCGTGTTCACCGCGGTCTCGAAGTCCCTTGCGGTCACCTCGTGACGGGCGGGAACGAGTGAGAAGTCACCAAGCAGGTACTGCGCGACACCAAGTTTCAACCGCCTGTCCCGTGCCCACCCAGATGGCGGCTTCCTGAGCCGCTTCTGGAGCCGGTATCGGATCAGACCTGCGATGTCCTTGAGCGGAGTACGCGTGCGGCTCTGACACCGCTGTTCAAGCTCAAGGGAACGAGCACTGGCATCAATTCGGTAGCTGCCGTCCTCACGTCGTACGGCTGCTCGACCGGCTGTCTCAAAAGCTCGCGCAGGGCCCAGCCTGAAAGGCATCAACGATCAATCCAGGTTGCATGGCGCCGAGCCATGAGACTTAACACATTAGTGGTGCATCGCGGTGGTCTCGGAACACAGGACCGCGCCTGCTTCTCGTCCCAAGACGATCCGCCCCCTCGGGAACCAGACCTTGCTGATGCCGCCCGACTCTTGGACCGCCGCGGTCGGTTCGTCCGCCTGGTCAATGCAGACATGCACACAACCAGGCTGACGGGGCCCACGCCCAATCGGCACTTCTACGTACTCAGCCCGGCACAAAGTGTTTCATCACTTTGTCCCGGTCGAGCGGCAGTGGCGCGCGTGCAGGTGCGGCCTCCCCTCCTTCGTCCTCACGCCGGCGTTTCCTGCCAGCTGCTGTTACCGCTCCAGCAACATCAACCCACCAAATTCGAAACATCGTGGCCCAGCCCAGCGCCAAATTCAAAATCAAGTTCCAAAAACCACAACTCGGTCAAAATGTTTCGTTCAAAACTTTTGTTCAAAACGTGTTTGGCACTTAAAATTTCTCATTCCACGAACGTAGACAGCCGCCGCCTTTTCTTCGGAGAGCGCCACGGCTTCCACAGCCCCACCCAGCACAGCCCCCCCCAGCCCACCCAGCCCCCAGCCCCCAGGCCCCAGACCCCCACCCCCCACCCAGCCCCCAGCCCAGCCCAAGGCAGCCCAGCCCAGCGCAGCCCAGCCGCTTTGGTCCACCAAATTCAAAACATGGTTCCAAAAAAAAATAACGTTTCGGTCAAAACTTTGGCACCCAAACCCTTAACAATTTTAAAAGCCCAAACCCCAAACGCTAAACCGTGATCTCTCGCTGTCCTTCCCCTGGCGGCCGCTTCTCGCGGAGGAGGCCTTTTCAAGCCAACTCGGAAGCTCACATGGGAGTTTCCAACAATAAGGGATACCTTATTTTGGGGGTCCGTATAGCAAGGATCCGACTATTTAGGGTACTATATTAGGGTCCCCAAATTTCGGAAACCCCCACATGGAATTTTACTTGTCATCCTTCGATCTGTCCTTGCTCGTGTCCTGACCTTCCTGACAAACACGAACCCCTACAGTAAACCGTAAACCGTGATAGCTCCCTTAAAGGAGCCCCCAAAAGAATCCTTGAAACCCTAAGCCCTAAACCCTAAACCTTAAACCCTAAAACCCTAAACCCGGATAGATCCCTTAAAGGAGCCCTCAAAAGAATCCTTGAAACCCTAAACCCGAAACCTTGACAGCTCCCTTAAAGGAGCCCTGAAAAGCATCCTTGAAACCCCAAACCTTACACCTTAAACCCTAAACCCTAAACCCGGATAGATCCCTTGAAGGAGCCCTCAAAAGAATCCTTGAAACCCTAAACCCTAAACCCTGATAGGTCCCTTAAAGGAGCCCTCAAAAGAATCCTTGAAAGTCTTCGCTGAGGGCTCGACAACCGCCACCGTGGAGCCCGAAGCGGCCAAACGCGCACGCGGAGCCTAGGTAAAGCTAGGCGACTGGCACCATGCCTGCCGGCCTCTCGGGCACCTCCCACGGTAGTGGTATAAAGCAAAAACCCTAAGCTTCGGGGCTCATCATGAAAAGGCACGGCGCACGCGTTTTTGGCAGGTTTACGGCTTCCAGGCCTCTGAGCCTGCCACCCCCACCCCTTGCGCCTTCCAGCCAACGACAGCCGAAAACCCAAATAAATCCAGCCCTTCCTGGAAAGTGCGTTTCTAATTGAGCGTAAATCGACCATTCTGGCTTTTGTGGGCTCCCCCTCATTTCGGGGGCCTGCGACAGCCGAAAACTCAGGCAATCCAGCCATTCCTGGAAACGGCGTTTCTAGTTGAGCTGTTAAATCGACCATTTTCCGGCTCTTGTGGGATCCCCCCCCATTTCCGCTGCTTGCGACAGCCGAAAACCCAGGAAATCCAGCCATTCCTGGAAACGGCGTTTCTACTTGAGCGTTAACTGTGAGATCGACCATTTTCTAGCTTTTGTGGGCTCCCCCTCATTTCCGCTGCTTCCGACAGCCGAAAACCCAGGAAACACAGCCATTCCTGGAAACGGCGTTTCTACTTGAGCGTTTACTGTGAAATCGACCATTTTCTCGCTTTTGTGGGCTCCCCCCCATTTTGGGGGCCGGTATAGCAATAGAAAAAGCCCACATGAGAACCCGCCAACGCAGCGTCATAGAAAGCCCAATCCAGAACGGGACAAATTCACAGAAAGTCGGCATGCAGTGCTGCTTGTCTTCCACAACGCCGGCAGCACAGCCTCACAGAAAGCCCAACCCCAGAAAAGGACAGACTCACAGAAAGCCCACATNNCAGTTCCCGCCAGCACAGCCTCAATGTAAGCCCGCCAGGACAGCCTTACACAAAGGTCACATGAGAGCGGATGCTCAAGCCCCCTCTGGGATGCCTAGAAGACTGTAGCACCAAACCTTAAAATGCTTGAACTCAGGGTGGTCTTGGGGTGGGCTGTCTGCTACGCAGAGGTGCGAGCGGGCTGGGTGTGCACACACCAGCGAGCAC